ATTTTAATAAAACTGATTTTTCAGCTTTCTGGGGTGTCACTTGTGCCTAGAAGATGTAATTGGTATTATTTTGAAATAGACATCTTTGTTTATTATTTATGCAGGAAAATTTATTATGCATATTTCTTATAGGAATTGTTGAGGAGTACCAGTTGCCTTATTATGACATGGTGCCTTCAGATCCCTCAATAGAGGAAATGAGGAAGGTTGTTTGTGACCAGAAGTTCCGACCAAGTATCCCAAACCAGTGGCAAAGCTGTGAAGTAAGGCTATGTTCTTATATATATTTTTCTTATATTTTTGAGGTGAGTATCGGGGAGGATTTTCAGAGATTATGTAGTTTTCTTTCTTAATGTAGGCATCCAATTCATTCCGTATAATTAGGTATGTGTCTTTTTATAAGTTGCAGATGGATTTTTATTCCCTTTAGCAGTATGTATGCATAGTGCTAGGTTATTTGACAGTAATAGATCCTGTAATCTCAGTTACTTTATACAACAAGACTTTATTTCTTGCTTGTACAAAGTCCTCTACAGGTTAGGCAACTCTCCACGGCATCTGTTCTCACTATGGTGAGTCAGTAATCCGGGTGACTTTGATCCTTGGATGCCACCATCTCAACACATACTTTCCAGGTGTCTAGGTCAGGAGAGGAGAGAAGATGGAGGATCATACAACTGGCTCTTTAATGCTTTGGCACCCTGTGGCACACATCACTTCCACTCATGGCTCATACCAGAACCTGTCACAGGGTCCCACTAAACTGCAAGGGTGCTGGGAACTCTGGGGAACTACCCACTTAGGTATACTAAGTGGGTAGTTACTGTCTGCACCACATTCAATATTACAATTCCCATCATCCTTATATTCAATAAAGTATTCCTAATTTCTAACCTGCAGAAGTTTGAACTTACTCTCACTCATCAGAAAAGCTCCCTCATAGCAGAGACCATTGATATTTGTCCTGTCATCCTCAGCAATCCAATATTTTATCCATAACACAGTAGACATACAATTACTGCAGTGCTCGTTCTGCTTTTATAAAGATAGATATTTTTCCAGCTCCCTCAAGGAAAAAGAAGGGAACGTGGGAGAAAGACTATAAACCATCTAACTAGTTCCAGAACTATTCTGATGCTTTAATTGCTCCCATTCCAGTTATTGCTGTTTATTTTCTGCCGTATTTAAATGTAACAAATGAGGTCTTTTTTAGGTGACATCTTTTATCTTGGCTTTATTATAGGGATTATTTTATACAATTGTCTTTTTGCCTTATCTTTTCTCCTCCATGTTTCTCAACTCTTTTTCTGTTTAAGGCAAGAGTTGAGTCTTGGTATTTCTATATTTTGTATAGATATCTTACCTACATTCTTATTTGAAAGCAGATTTTGAGGCATTTATAACCTAATTGAAATTAAATTAAAATTTTTAATATTGATAATTTTATGCACATGAAAGACTATAAATCTGTAAAGTTTAAAATATAATAAAATGAAAAACAGCAAATCCACTACCAAGTTTGAAACATAGAACATTTCCAGTACGTTTGAGGATTCTTTACCCTTCTGAGAGATCACTACTATAATTTTTTTATTATTGCCTTGCTTTTTTTAGAATTTTACTCTCTATATGCACATATATAGTCAATAAATATGAAATGTCTGATTTCGAATCTAAAGCGTAGTTTATTATATCTCAAACAAGAAGCAGTATGCACCTAAATCAAAGTATGCACCTAAACTAGTGACATAGTTTTGCCATCTTAGCAGTAGCTTATTTGTGCCAGCAGCGAAGAAGCCAGGAGAATAAATGGTGATGAAATCTTGAAAGGTGTTTTCCACAGCTTGTTGAGAATTGAATATTTTTCCTTGCTAGAAGGAGTCCAAAGCCTGGAAGAAGTGGTAGACGGTGCAAAGTGTGGTGAATACCGCAGATAACAGAGAGTCTCCAAGTCCAGCTTCTGTAGTTTGAGCAGCATTGTTTATGCAACATGTGGTTGAGTGTTGTCATGCAAGAGGATTGACCTGTCTCTATTGACCAATCTCAGCTGCTTAATCGCAAGCATCCTTGTCATTTGGTCGAATTGGCTGCTGTAGACATTCCCTGTAATGGATTGACCAGGTTTCATGACTCTGTAGTGGATAATATCAGCGCTGGACCACCCACCAAACAGACACCATTAACTTTTTTTGATGAATATTCAGTTTTGGACCGTGTTTCGGCACTTCATCTTTATCCAACCATTGTGCCAAACACTTGCGATTGTCAAAAAGAATCCATTTTTCATCATATATAACAATACAGTGTAGAAATGGTCTGCCTTTTTGTCGTAACAAAGAAAGGCAAGCTTTCAGATGATTTCTTTTCTGACACCTGTTTAATTCACGTGGAGCCCATCTTTACCTTGACCATTTGTTTCAAATGGTCCAATATTGTTGGAATAGTAACATCAAACCCTGGCTGCTAATTCACGCATAGGTTGAGATGGATTCGCTTCCACTACAGCTTTCAGCTCATCATTATCCACCTTAATCTCAGTCACCCACGTGATTAAAATCACCAGAACAGAACTTCTCAAACTATCAACGTACTGTGCTTTCATTAGCCACATCCTTCTCAAACACTTCATTGATATTTCAAGCTGTCTTTGCTGCGTTGATTCCACGACGGAACTCATATTTGAAAATAACA